GTGCGTGCCGGGCAGCCCCGTCCCGCGGGCGGGACGGTGTTGAGAGCGCAGCTCCCTCCGTCCTGCGCGCCCTTTCCCCCCGAGCGCAGTCCCAGCCGCGCTGCAGCTGCCCCTGGCTCCCCTGCCCAGCCCCGGCCGGGGTTCGCTCTCGGAATGCGCTGGGGAATCGAGCGTCCTCGGCAGCTGTTGGAAAGGGAGCTTTGCTCTTGCACGACGTCAGCAGCGCAGGCTAGACAGCAGGTTGCTGCTCAGTCAGAAGCCAGCAGCCCCACTTTGCTGCATTGAGGTAAATAGTGTTTACTGCAGATCAATTATGTCCCAGGTATTTTAATTAATGGGTGGCTGGGAGAAATACAGCCACCCGATGGGAAGCCCTCAGAAGTGCCGTGTCCTGAGCACCCGTGAGAACAGGGGCCTGTGCGGAGCTCGCAGGAGGCAGGCTCTGTGGAGCGGCCGGCCGAAGGGTGAAACTGCCCGCACACGTGTGGGATGTCAGGCGTGTGGGACGGCCTCCTTCACGTCCGATTACAACCTGTAACCACCTTGTTCTTCCCTATGTCCCTTACAGATCACTTGGTAGCCCACGGACGCATGGCGGAGAAGGAAGCTCGGAGAAAGTTCAAGCAAATAGTGGCTGCTGTCAACTTTTGTCACTGTCGGAACATAGTTCATAGAGATCTGAAGGCAGAAAACCTCCTTTTGGATGCTAACCTGAACATCAAGATAGCAGGTGAGCTAAGAGGAGCGGAGGGGAGGAAGGCAGCTGCTCTCAGGAGCTCCTGAATGCAGGCACGGGCTGCTTCCAGCTATTCAGAGGGGAGGAAGCGCGGTGCAGCTAAAGGAAGCTTCGGGTTTCGGGGTGGCCGCCTGCCCAGAGCTCACGCTGGCAGCTTGTACCCGGCTGATTTATGTCTCCCGTCAAGGAGTGCAAAAGAAAAGCAGGAAAAGGGGTTAGGCTTTGTAGGTAGGTACATTTTGGGGGTATAGCAGCTGCAGATTTCCAGAGCGCCGGAGAAGGGGCCGGGCAGAGCCTAAAAGGTGACCTCACTTTGAGTGCTGCTGCTGGGATTTCTTTGGAGCAGGTCCCATTCAGTTGGAGAGGGAGCAGAAAAGCCAAGGGAGAGCTGATGGCAGAGAAGGGAAGGGCACGTGGAGACTTTGGGGCGCTTTCCGTGCGGCTCCCGCAGCTGGGTGGCAGCAAGCGCCCGGACACGAGTGCGGTGCGGGAATAACGGCAGGGATAACAGCAGGGATAACAGCATTCCCTCGGGAAAGGGGCTTCGGGAGCTCTCCACAAGCACCGCTGCGCAGGGCCGTGCTGCGCAATGCCTTAATCCCAGCTGCTATTGATGGGGAAAAACCCTAATGTTTGTTGCATTTCTTCCTGGCAAAATAACTTCCCAACTCGCCTAGGTAGAAGCTGGAACACGTCTGGATTCCTTAGAGATGTCCAGCCTGCTGACAGTTACGGGAATGTTTGAAAGTGGTGGAAACTTTTTCCTTTTTAACCGAAGGAAGCTGGACATGACTTTCCTTCCAATCTCAACTCCCAGCATGGACTCTGGAAGATAGCTCCCACCCATGCGGTGCTGGTGTTGTCCTTGGCAGGAGTGGCAGCAGTGATTTGAAAGGGAGCCTGGAAAAGCTGATTGCTGCTCTAGGACTTTCCAGGCGTTCGGCTTTGTCCCTCTAAGCGCTAACGGGATTTCTGGGAATCGGGATTTTGGGATTTCTGAGACGTTCCTTGGCGCCTGGGGCTCTCGCAGATCGGAGGGATGCTTGTTTAAAGCACACTTTGTTTTGGGGTGCAGTTCGTTCTTGCACTCGGGGGTTTTCATCCGTCTTCTCCTTTGGCTTTTCCAGAGTGCTCTTTGCACCACGCATGACCTCAGTGCATGAGGTGCATGTGGGTTTTGGACAGTTTTGCCGTCTGTGAGCAGGGCTTTGCATAAAACCGACCCTTCTGGTTGTCGCTCGCTGTGGATAGGGAAAGTCTGCCTCCCCGTGGGCTCCGAGGGGCTGGGCAGGGCGCTCCTTTACGGGGAGAAACTCTCCTTCCCCCAGGCTGGGGCCGCGCGGTTCCTTCGCTTGCTGAGGGCTGCCCAGCAGTGTACGTGTGAAGTGGGGGTGCAGCTCTTAATAGCCCTTCCTTGCTCTTTTTCTCAGTACCGAGAGAGCAATGCTGCCGATTTTGTGGGTGCTTTCAGCTTTGCTCTCCCTCTGCTTGCACCTTTTGTGCTCTTTTTCTGATGTCTGAATTAGTTTTGTGTTACGCGGTTATACGTGACCTTACGAGACCGAGCCCCTTATTTAGCTCTCAGTTGTTTCATCGTATGTTCTTCTAATGAGTTCTCTTTATCTCTTGGTTCTTGCAGATTTTGGATTCAGTAACATCTTCACGCCTGGCCAGCTGCTGAAGACGTGGTGTGGGAGTCCTCCCTACGCTGCCCCAGAGCTCTTCGAGGGAAAGGAGTATGACGGCCCAAAGGTTGACATTTGGGTATGGGACGAGCCTCACTTTCTTGCGTTTTATTTACTTATTTTTTACCTCAGTTTGGCTTTGCTTCCCGAGTAACTATACCTGTCTTGGAGATAAGCCCCTGATATGCAGAGAAGAGGTTTCTCAAAGAAATGCACAGACTGTTTTATGCTGGCTAGTGTATGACATCCTTCCCTTCCTGCAAGGCTTCATGCCTAAAACTTTAGCAGCCCTGACGAGCATTTTAATTCAGTTCCTTAAAAAACAAGGTTGGCTTCAGTGTTGCTGTTGAATGGGTCATTACCCGCTGCCG